TTGCCGTATGAGAGTATTTGTATATATACATATATATATATATGTGTGTGTATTTGTATGTATCTGACCGTCAAACATAAAGTCGAGCTCATTTAGATTTGTCGCTGTAATTTCTTCTACTAATGTCTATGAACTGTGCTGGAGCCTTACGAAGGAATGCCTTATTCCACATGAGCCATTTCTACTTACACTGAACATGCATGAGTATGGCTGTATGGTTGTGTATATGCGGAGGGGGTAAATGTGCGCGGGAGCGTATTTCTATACATTTCACACTCCTTTGTCGGTCATAAATCAGTGATATTCTGCGCACTCATGATATTCAGCTTGCAGGACCATAATTCAGGTTTAATTAACTCGTTTATTAACAAATATTAGTTTACACGATGATGTGCATGTTTCACAAATCAAACCGAACCACTCTTGTTGGCAATTATTTACGATTTGCAATTACTTCAGTGTGGCCACATGACTCTGACTATGCCCAACATGTAGTTGCATGTACGAGCATGCACGAAAACTTCTTTTGTCAATACTTAAGACAGCGATTGCATAGTAAAGCCCTACGAAAATAAGTTCTATGTTGTCAAAAGTCTAATTCTTAGCGAAATAATCTAGCGGTTATGACGATGTGCGCATGAATCCTACGAAATTATACTCTTAAAAAAACTGTTATACATAAGAACTTATGTCTTTATATTTTTTTTTATTTTCCAAAGATATGATACGGCCAATTGCAGAATTATTTTCTCGACAACGTTAAGAACAGAACGAGGACACGACGTGTGTCCTCTTTGCCCGTTCCAGTAGCATCCGCTAACTAACCCGATCAGTGGTTTGAAAATATTCAACTCATTCAAACATTAAGGTACCTTTTCGTTTTCCATAAGAATAACTTTCATTACTCTTCCATTTTATATTACAGAAAGAGTTTCAAGTAATATTCCAGCGGATCTGGATTTGTACACTGCTTTTTGAAGTGAAACCATGTATTTCTTAATTTTTGATTTATTTTTTACAAGATTTATTCGATCAACAAATTCAAGACATTGCAAATTCATACTTAAAACTAGAGATTCAAATATTGTTTTTCTAGTATATGGTATCCAAAATCAATAGAAAACCACTGTGTGTAAGACTTGCTGCTTACGACGTCCTTCAAAATTATTCACAATCTTGTCGATCTCGTTATCCAGATCACTAGCTCTTGACAACTACAAAAAAAAACAAGTGTTTAAAATTAGTATTTATATCTAAATTTTTAATGATCCTATTGAACTGCAGTCAATTTCAAACCCTATCTGTACTCATATTTCACATAAATTTGATTTATGATGAATTAACTCAAATGTAATAGTGTGATATCATAATATTTGAAAAGAAAACACCTTCGAAAATCTCATTTTGAATAAATTCTTCTTGTCTCGAACCAAAAAACGATAAACCAAAACTGACAAGAATTGAACTACTAGGCTGGTGGTCGAAAAATAGTTGCAACCACAGCAGAAGAAAAGTTTAAATTGGAATTGAACGAAGTTTACGTATAAGAAGGTTGCTGAGTTAAACATATCAAAAACAACCATTAAACTTATATATAGAAATTAGCCCGAAGCTTAACCTACTAGTTCCAGAATAGACAATATTTTCTTCATACAAAAAATGATTGAAGTCAATTAATGGGAAGTGATGATTGCGATTGACCACAGTTGATAGTCGCACTCTTTGTACTTTTGGATCATGGATCCATGAACAATGCAAAAATAAAATCAAGTCCAACCACCACTTATAGCACGGAATGAAAATTTGTCAAATTCCGTGTGGTATACTCTGCAATATCCTCATATAACGTCGGCTAAGCAAACCTGAACAAGTAAATACTATTCAATACCGAACAATGTCTTTTGATTTTAGATCCGAAAGTTTATTCAGTTCAGCAAAAGCGAATAACTTGGCAATTCCCTAACGGCGTAACCTGCACACAGATCGATCATATATCTATCTCTCACAAATAGACAAGCATTCTTGGCGATGTAAGAAACAAGTATAGTGCTGAGTTCGATAGCGACCATTATTTATTAATCGCAAAAAAGAGCCAGCTATAATGGAGACAAAAGTTCTCACGGAGACAAATTAAAATTTAACAATATAAAAAGAGCTTTTGAATACAAGATTGCTAATGCCAACTTCTATTCTCTCGATAGTGTTGATGTCATGTGGACAGAATAAAAAAGAGTACCGGAACAGGGGTACTGGGTTATAGTAAATCTGAAAAGAAATAATGGTTGTTTCAGGAATTTTGGGATTTCATTGGGAAAGGAAAAACATTAAAATTTGTCTGCTTAGCGAAAACGAACATACAAAGATTATTTTAAAAAGGGAATACAAGCAATTATTAAATCAAATAAAGTGCCAAGCTAAGCGTGATAAGCTTGACAAGCAAGTCGAAGCTGCCCAAAATGATGCAGATGAAGATGACTTGAAAGAACTGTAGAAGTGGAGTAGAGATACTTTCGGCAAAAAAGCCTATTTTAATGTGCCAATTGAAGATGAAGATGGAACTCTTGTTACAAACGCTGACAAACAACTAGTTGTTTTAAAAAGAAATTTTAATAGAACGGTAAACATTATCTAAAACAGTTAATCATGCTCAGAAGATGTAGTCCTAGCAGGATAATTGATTGTCACCCTCCTAGCGTGCAAAAAATTCGCGACGCCATTTTATCATAAAAATCTGGTAAGTCTGCTGGACATGGCAATATACCAATAAAATGTTTTAAAGTGATCCCAGATGTTATGGCAGAAGCGCTGCATATCTTGAAGTGTGAAATTCGGATAATATTCTATCAGAATGGAAGAAGGCGATCTTAATTAAGACTCCCAAAAAAGGTGATAAGAGAAAATGCTATAATTGTAGAGGAATCTCTTTGCTCCCAATAATCAACAAAATTTTTATAAAAATAGTACTTATTAGGGTCTCTGAACCGTAATCAAGCGAAATTTCCCTTAATCAATCTTGTACTGACCACATCGTCACCAAAAAAATTTTAATAGAGCAATCAGTGGAATTAAACACTTTCTTGTATCTTACATTCGTCAACTTCGAAAAGGCTCTTGACACGATGAAGCATTGATTTATTTGGAAAGCGTTAGAGGCTAGAGGAATACATACGAAAATCATTAATACATTTTAAAGCAGCTATGAAGGCGCATTGTGCTAAATCCTACATAATGGCGAATTGAGTAAGTCGTTCCCATCATTTAGCGGGATCCGCCAAGGATGTGAACTGTCCCTACTTTTTTTTTTAACAGCATTAGACGGGATTCTTGAAACGGTTAACATGCAGCAGCATAGAATTGATTGGGGACTGAGCAATAAGCTGGGCTATCTTGAATACGCTGACAACTTGGTATTCATATCACACCGTTATTCAAGTATGCAAGTGAAAATAACGTCATTGCAGCAAGAAAGGCGAAAGTGGGCCTAAAAATCAATATCTCCAAGACTAAATCTATGCGCATCAACCCTAACAATAATGCTCAGTATCCATCTCAAAACGAAAATCAAAATTTTCAACGCCTGCGTCAAATCTGTATTGCTGTACGGATCTGAGACTTGGTATGTGGCTATAGCTATCACTTATAAGTTACAAACGTTTGTAAATAGATGCCTGCGTCATATTTTAAGAATATGGTGGCCACGAATTATTAGCAACTATTATGAATGATAAAGAAATAATTCAGAGGAAATGCGGATGACTGCGGCATACTCTTCGCAATCCAAACACCAAAATTATTCATTCTGCACTCGAGTGAAATTCGCAGGGAAGAAGAAATTGAGGTTGGCTAAAGACAACATAGAGAAAAACTATTAGTAAAGAAACGCGCAAATCATTTAGTGAGCTAAGGGCTATAGTTGCGATTGTTCACAGTTTAAAAACCACTGATTCATGTGAGATCAGGACAATTTAGACAAAGAAGCATGTAATTATTAATGTTGACTATCTGGACTATTGAATGTGCTGTCTTTGAAGTCACCCCAGACCTTGTGCTACAGTCTATATTCGATCTTTCTAGGCACTTATGATCTTGCGTTACCATCAAATTCCGCAGATGAGTATTACTTTATTAGTATTAGACAATTTAGATTTGTAAGCACACTAACTCCAAAGTGAAATTTTGTTAATATCAATCTAATTTCTCGAGTCATTTTGATTACCTCATGAACGAGTTAATGTGAGTAAGAAGTTGAAAACTTCAAAGTTAAAACACAAATAAAAGTTGTTATAATTTGTGATTATATTTGTGTGGGGAGAATCATGTAAATGTAATAATCCAATAATGCTTTTCAAGACGTTTAATTGTTTATTAGTGTGAGTTGCCTTTTAATGTGAGCAAAACATATACCATTATAATTGCTAAGAGAACTTTTAATTCATTATATAGGCTATCTTCCTTAAAATCCACAATGCAAACCATCTAGTAGAATCTTGAAAAGTATTATTCGTATAGATATTTCGCCAGGAGAACAAAGAGGAACCGAACCTCTTTTTATTTTAGACAGAAACCGTTACCAAAACCGGACCGAGAAACTTTCAGCTTTAACACCTGTTCGAAATTGTCTCGATTTGGATTATCTACATTTTGAGAGTGACGCGATACATTATTCACATGCAAAATAAACAATTAACAACTAAATGGTATTTGAAAATGCTCCCGAAATTTAAAAATATTTTTGTTTATTGTTTATTTTATGAACTAATAGTAATGAACATAGTATACTTATTTGTCATCAATAAAATATTCTAAAGTTTATTGCCCAAAAGAGAACATTCAAGAGAGTTCCGAAGTTATCATAGTTCAAAATTCATTTTTTTGGAATATTTTTGAATATTTTTGTAAAAGAAAATTTTTTTAATTATTTTTTCATACATCATTGTCTAAAGTATCTTACAAATACTTTATATCAAAGAATACCACATACGCCCTGAGTAATTTTTTACTACTTCAGGCCCAAGCAAGTTTGAGCTAATATTTTTTTTTTACGATTTTTGCAAATAGACTACTTTTAGACAGTTTTTGTTTTGACAAAAGTCGAAAATGGGCCAGTTCTCCTTTGGAATATCTGAAATGTTTGCAAGAAACACTCTGTAGCTGTATTGTTGTACGCGAAGAAAAAACTTCGCAAATAGAAAAGTGGTAAATTGTAAGCCCATCAGAGTAAAAAAAAACTGACTGAATCTACTGATAGTAACGATGACTCTGTAGTCAAAAGCTCCTATTTGAAAACAATTTTGTTCCAATACACCAATTTGACTTCAGAAATCATCATTCTATAACTGACGAGATTCGCAGAATAATAAGTATTATCGAAAAATCTTTTGAAAACAAAACGGTATGCTCTTCTGTCTTTCTCGACGTTTCACAAGCCTTTGATAAAATGTGGCACAGAGGTCTGTCACATAAAAGAAGAACGATATATGTCCAAAAGCAGGCGTTCCACAGGATAGCATCAACAAGTTTAAATAAGACAACAATTACAACTTTTGCAGACGGTACGGCCTTACTGTCCGGAACCTTCAAGTTGCTCTCAACTACGTGCTAGAGTGGACTAATAAATGGATCCACTCTAATGAATTGGTGTTAGGTCCAATTTGTGCCTACGGATCTCAACTCTGGGATTGCACATCTGAGTCAAATAGGCAGATAATCTAACGATACTAAGAGAACGTCCTAAGAACAATCATCAATGCTCCATGGTATGTCTGTAACAGCGAACTTCATCGTGACTTGCATGTTCCGACAGTTGCTGGAATAATCACGCTTCAAGCTGAAGCACATAAAAACAAATTTAAAGTTAAGCCGTATGACGGCTTAAGAGAACCAAACCATCTTAATTAATTAAAAAATTAATATTAATCATTATATGGTACTATATTATTATAGATAAGGATTAATATCGACTATTTTGAGTCCGTGATATAAAAATATTGTTATTGAGTTTTTATTTTAAACTAGGCGCAATTGAATATATAATAATAAAAAAAAAGAAACACTTTGTGGATATACCCAGCAGTTTATAGTGATGTTGATGCCCTAGAATATTTGGTGTGTGCATACCTTACATGTATTTATGCCGTCATACTCTTACCATGTTAGAATTTATAGAAATAAAACTATTAATATTAAAAACGATTATTTTTATTTAATGCTGTTAGTCGTTTGATCCTATATTCGGAAGCTTTATGTAAGTAAAATGGTTATGTTGATGTCTGACAGCTAGTTTTACTTTCAAAAGGCATCCCTGCACTGTTGCTAGTAAGTGTACCACGGCATGAAGAAAGCATATACGTGTATACGCATATGCGTGTGTATCTATATATATGTATGTGTGTATTTAATCAAAGATGGATGCATGTTTGAATATAAACACCAAATAGTAAAATACTGAAAAAAAAATGTTGTAATGTTTATAAAAATTTTCACAAACCATCTTTAGCAAATCTGCAATTGCAAACGATCCTTGGAGAGCGCCTTCAAGGGTGTCGTCCACATTAATGTTAAGTACATGGGCCGGACGATTATCTACCGGATCACGCGAACTCATAAATTCAAGGAGCTCATCGTACACACGTTCCTCCACAGTAACAATTACATCAAACTGCTCATCACACTCTTGAAAACGTTGCGGATACTTCTTAATTCTACGATTACGTTCAAGCATGTGCAACAGACCTTTTTCCCGATAGCTGTGAATGAAAAACTTTATATTGGAATGGAAAATTCTCAATGTATGTCTTACAAAAATTCATTTTTAACCACCAAATCCATATAAATATCGTTGTACGACGTACCAAACCGATAGATATTTGGTTTGTCAATGCTAAGGCCCGGCAGTTTAATCCGCTCGGCAATGCCATAACTTTTGACCCTAAAACCTTTATTTGCAAGGAAATTATGGGCTTCCATGGAGCGATTCATGTTGGCAGCACATACCACGGCAATTGATAGTTTTGTCGCCGATGGCGAGCTTTTATTCGGCCAATTATTCATTGAGAGTTAAACTTTCGTCTAGAACTTTGATATCCAAGAAGTAAAACGTATATGCAGTGTTCTTCATTTAATAAAAGCAACGTTGCCTTGTTTCTTTTTTTTTTTTGATTGAAAATCCTAACAAGTGAACTGAGGTAAGCAAACTGTGCTATTATATATTTGTGCGTTTACACCATCCGATGTTATTCAGCTTAACTATTAATTAACGTTTAGACTATCGTACTTAACTCATTTCGGGCTTTTTCTAGATATCGCATACATATTTATAAATTCCAATGCCTTAGTGTATGTTGCTTCGAACAGTTCCAATATAACATAGGAATCAGAAGTCACAAGGTTTGAAAAACAGAGAAATAAAGCTGTGAATCAAAATAAATTTCAATCAAAAATATAAATATGTTAATAAATCCATAGTATATCATATAAAATTGATTTTATTTAAAAAATTCAAAATAAAAATTATTTTTATTTTTTACGCCTTTTATGTTTTTTATTTTAACATATTGAAAAGCTAATGCCATAAAAAATGCTTTTCGTTTTCTCTTTTGTTTCGCTATTCTCTAAGTAATATTTACCAAAACTGTAAATACCTAAACCTTTCCTAAGCAAAAAAAAAAAGAGTTCAAACACGATGAGCTAAAATCTGAAAACACTATAAAAAAGTAATTTGATTCCAAGTAAATTTCGTGTCAAAGAGACTCTTTTATAAGCTTGATAAACACTGTGTATCCGGTGTTTTGAGTTTACAGGTGCCAGGTGAATGGATACGTGTGAATTTGAAGCATACCTCACTAGTCCTCCAAAAACCAACGTCTACAATTTATCATTCAGTGATCATGTCCAATTAGGTGCTTGAAAAAGAATGTTTCCGGCACACATAGCTTTCACCTACCGAAGCCGATCCTTCAACTTCAAGGCCAAATCGCTCCAGCCAGAGAACTGTGTTTTGTGTCTGATGGGACCAGAGTGGTATTTTGTATTATGAACTCATGAAGCCCGACAAAATCGTTAAAGCACAACGCTATCGTTAGTAAATGAATAATTTAAATCGCGTATTATTTACAACCGAAATGAGCCAAAATACATGGGAAAATGATTTTGTTATACAACAATGAACCGTCTCATGCAGCAAAACCAATGAGAGATATTTTGAAATCTCGTGGACATCCTTCTGGACCTGCCGTACTCATCATCGCGCTCACAGAGCAACAATCCAGCTATTTTAAGAAAGATGGAAAATTGTTCGATGAATGGTTTGCAAAAAAAATAGGCAAACGGTCTTTTTTGACATGGTTTTCAAAAATTACATAAAATATAAGCAAAATATTTGATTTCCCTTAAAAATTACTTGTTTACTTAACCAAAAAAAAAACAGGAAAAAACTTACACATACACCTGGTAGACAAAAATGAACATATAAGACATCATCAGTGATTGTCTCATAGACATATTGTCAATATATATATTTTTAATACTTTTGATAATATAATATAATACTTTTTATAAATCGCTTAAGATTCGACACAAAAATTTTGAGTATAAATTTTTTAAATTAAAGTAATTAATAAAGTTGGCAGAATTATTTTAAATGCTCGCATCATAGTTTCTGCAGTGTAAAATTAACAATTCGCCTTTAATTCGCCGCAATGGCAAATTCACATTATGCCTCTGTAGGCATTTGTGAGATTTTAAAAATGTCTTTTCTGCACTACAAAATGTTTGTGGTGAATTCGTTCCGATAGCAAATCCGCCTTGTGCTTTCTGGGTATGTCCATAAAAATAATATATGCATATTAATGTTGCAGGCAATTCGCAGCGACATCTGACATTTAATAACAATGTATGGAATTTTTGCAGTATATATTCCGCAGCACAACAGCTGATGGTGAATTAGACTTAACGGAAAATTCACATTATCCCTGGGTATCTCCATAAGCAATAAAGCAAGCATTTCTAAGTTGTAGAAAATTTGCAGCTAAAACCGATAAGTTGTGCCCACACAATGGCATTTTACATATTTTGTTGACAGTGCAAGATTTTTGTGGTGAAATCGTCTCTATGGCCAATTTAGACTGTGCAAACATAGGTATCACCCTAACTTATAATGTAAACACTTAAATTTTGTAAAATATATCTATCATCAACAAATACATGTGATTTTTTCGTGCCAATACATGTGAATTTGTAATATTTTTTCCAACGTGCGAAAAACCCGTTATGAATTCGCTCTTATGGCGAATTCGCCTTTGTCTATAACAAATAATGTAAGCATTTCACTCTAATATTTGATTATACAAAATTTGAATTTTATAAATAATAAAAATTTTTTATTTGAAGTCCAATAAATTTTCTTTGCCAAAGTGAAAAGGGCTATGGAACAGGACTTAGAACAGTTTTAACAATTTAATTTTATGCTATCTAAGGATTCTAAAAAATCTGGAAACCAATTTTACTATTTGTACCATTTTTACTATTTTTACTAATTTTACACTTTTTGGTATGAAAACTATTCATTTAAGACATTTGAAAAGAATCAGGCTTGACCTGATTAGGGTTTTTAGAAATTAACTTTCAAACAAAAAAGTGCTTGCAATACTTAACTTTAGTTGACGCGTTCGGAAATCACGAAGTATAGGTGGCGCTCCGATTTGACAATTCATCAGTTAAAGTAATTCGTTGACGAGTGCGGAGGTGGGACTTAGGTTTTTTCGTGACACAGCTTTTATAAAAGATTTTTGACAAAATTTGTTTAAATTTCGTTAAGGTAAAATTATTTCTTGACTATTTCGGTAAAACGTATTCTATATACAGCGCTTTTTACAAGAACTTTATTCAATTGCGGAAAATGTTACACAAATAACACGTGCAATATATGCATGTGCATGTATGTGCATGATTTCTGTCGATTTGCCAACACAAATGTTAATTATTTCTAATAAAAACTAAATAACTTTTGATATAAAATAAAATATTAAAGAATTGTTTTCTAAACGCAGATAAAGTCATTAGTGAAAAAAAATTTTTCAGTTCCATTAAAAAACTATTACAACCTGACTTTATTCTATTGCAGATCAATAGCTGCTTTTAATAAGAAATGGCGTCCCGTCGTATTGCTAAATCTACTTTCAACTGGAAGGCACTAGAAGAACGTGTGCAGCCAACTCAAAAAACCAATTATACTGCTCTCAGGGCCAAGTCTAACGCCTATTTACGTGCTGTTTCGGCTAACCCAGAAAGTCCACCAAAACTCGACTGGGAGTACTACAAGGCCAAAATTTCGATCCCTGGTTTAGTCGAGAACTTCAAAAAGGAATACGAAGCTCATAAGACTCCTTATCCAGAAAACAAAATGATTGCTCAAATTGAGCAACAAATCGAAGAGACCAAATGCGAAATTGAGGAGTTTAAAGAGCAATCTGAGGAACGCATTGCTGAATACCAAAAATCTGTTGCTATAATTAAAAGCAAAGTGGCATTCGACCAAATGACTATGGAGGATTATCGTGCCGAATTCCCTGATTTAGCTATAGATCCGATTGAGCGTCCTACTTTCTGGCCACACAACCCAGAAGAGCAGTTAGATTATAAATCTATGGAGCAGCAAGCAACAACAGATCACTAATTTAAACGCGATTCAGCTTTGGAAAAAGCGCTTTAGCGACTTTACTATTTCAATAAAGTTTGTTAAAAACGTAATTAAAATAAAAAATCATAAAAATAATTTAAACTACGCTACTGTCTTTTGTTCATAAAAATTTATTAAATGAAATTACGTCAATAATTATTATTATTTTTCTAAAACTCACTATGTGTTAGCTCTGACAGTCGTGCTGGTGGTGTAAAGGGTTCAGCGACTAGCCTGTATTGGAATAATAGGAGCTATGCGCACCACACCAACGTTAGACGCGATGGTGGGTTTGCTTCTGTTGGTTTTATATATAAAAAGAACGGCGATACTGGCAGCAATTCGCATGAATCGGAGCTCCATGTGGAATAACTTCAAAAAATTGGTGGATCATCTGAAAATTCTTGACATCGTCCAGACCGCGGTCAAGGAAACGCAGATGGCATTGGAGACAATGAGGAGAGCCTATGGGACAGAAGTGTCCTATTAAACACTGATAGTAGACGACCTTCTACTTGATGAATGTGAAAGAAATGTCATCTACGCCTTTACCGATGGCTCCATGACGGCTGGCAGAGCTGGAGCTGGGGTTTACTCGAAAGAGCTAAATCTACCGTACACTCTACATCTAAGAAAACATGTTACCTTATATCAGGTGTAACTTATGGCGGTCTCACATGCTCTGTATTACCTATTGGATTGTTAAGTGTATCAGAAAAATATTCTGATAGCATTGGACAATCAAGCAGTTATCAAAAGCACACAAAAGACATGCATAGTTAACAGCTATCCGCGGAGCACGGAAGCCACTCCAGTTTCAACTCAATAACGCTATCCGAGAATCCAAGGACGAAAAAGGACCCAAGTAGTTTAGTGGTCTACTTCGACTAATCTTTCACTTTATTGACGCCACTTGTTGGACAATACGCTGTCCGAACTTTCAACAATATATATATATAACATTGGTGCAGATTATGAATCTGTACATAATAACAGATGCCTACTGCGACGTCTGCACACTGTACGGTACCTTGAAAATTCCTTTGGAGCCTTCATATATTCCTCTGTTAGGAAGAAACAGCAGAAAAAAAAAGAAACAAAAACGAGTTACGAAACAAGGTAGTGAAATAATGAAACGTCAACGATTAATGAACTCAGACAATGTGTAAAAAAATTTTATGCAATATATATTTGAACCAAAGTTTATTCTCAAGGCTTGAACGCATCACCTACCATAGCTGTACATTAATAGATAATGTAAATTATAACATTTATAATGTTGTTATAGCATCAGCTTAAGTTATACATACTTAGTGAGAGATAATTTCTAGACTACTTATACTAAAGCAGTTCACCAATGGATTATCATATACTCAAAATTCTCGTCCACAAGATCTGGATTGTTTTGATGGTAAGGTGGTGCAACCGCCATACAGTTCTAGAGCTTTATCAATATTTCTGATATAACATATATCTTAGATAATAATAACTAAATTTTCATATTATTAATTACTTTTTTCTCTTTAAAGCTGCTATTTATCTTGGAAGAAACTTTATTTACTGGAATTACAATCTTCGACTTACCATAGATAATCTAAATCCATATTCAATAATTGAACTCGTATTACCTGCATACCAGTTTGAATATTTTTTAATTTTAAATTTTATTTTATAATTAATATTACATATAAACTTTAATTTAAGTTAACTTTGCTCAATAAAAATATGTATCTGGTAGGGTGCCGTCACACAACATCTCCAGCTTTTTTTTTTGCTTTCTTCACCTTCTTATATTTAACATAGCTTTTAGCAATTAAATAATTTCTTTGATTATAAGATTTATATATTTATGTTTATATATCACAAACCAAGGAATGTAATTACTATTATTAAAATTTATTTATCAAAAAATTTAAGAGATAATGCAATGTCTATTTATGTAGAGAGCAGAAATTCAAATGAAGTCACAGTGTAAATTTTAAGACATCCGCTCAGTCAATCCTTAACCTGTTATGCACTTCCAAAAAGTTACAGATTATGTATTATGTATTATACACCCAATAATTTACCATATGAGATGTCTAATGTCCAGTTATTGTCAATGGTGGATAATCCTCTTCAAGAAATACTGATACAATGGTACTTGCTTTTATTGTTTACTAAACAAATTTAGCACAAAACTACTTTAGTGAAACACGTAGTGTAAAAGTCGCTAATTACAGATGTTGGTGGTTTCTAAGATGTATCAACTTATTGCTCTCTAAGAATGGCATAGCTGAAAAAATAGCGAAAAGCCGCCCATAATTTAATAATTAGTATTTCTTCTTCCTCTTCTTATTTGGCACTACAGACCAGTGAGAACCTTGGCCTCTTTAAGAATTAGTGTTTAGTGACCAGATTATTTACGGACACTACTACTTACCATCATGATAAATATCTCGGCACCATCACTGCAGAGGCGTTCTTCAGATTTTAAGTTTCGATTCCAAATACAGGATAGCTAATATCTAACGTATATACCATCTCTTCGTTACACATTAGAGTTTTAAAGTCAACCATTTCAGTTGGAATACAATCGCTTTTAATTCTTATATGTGTGCAGCAAACACTTAAGTAACATTATCTTCTTTAGGAAGATCACTCACAAGACGTACTTCGCGATTAATCATTTACTGAAACTTAAAAGTCGTATCTTTACTATTTAAATAATTTGATTAAACGAACTTTATATTATATGATACTCAATATATTTATTTTTTTGAACTTTACCAAAAACTCATCCAAATGAAAATCACACCAAACTCGGTATTCCGAGTTCAAGTTTTCGGTAAGTTCCGAGTTCCGGTAACCCAAATATCAGCAATTCCAGAGAACTGCAACAGAACGTTGTAAACCATTTGGCTAACACAGTTCATTAAATTTTGTCCAAGAAAAATTGTATATAAATTTTCAAAACGTAGACTAGGACTAGGATCTAACTCCGTGTTTATCAGAAAACGATTACCAATCAGTATCTTCCTTTATCTTTCCCGATGAAAGATGTTTTTATCAATATTTGTAGAAAATTTGAATTAAAAGATTGGTATAAAGAAAAATTATAACCGAAATCTTTGTACTGGTTAGAAGAGAAACTTTTCCTGGGTGTAGCACAATAGATCAAACAGATCACAGCCATTTCGGATATAAAGTGCTTCCATTTTTTTCTGAATCTGTGTATTCTTCGCCAAAGTCATACTTTTTCGCACCCTTACGACTATTTCATTTGCGCAAGCGGACCCAGAGACTAATAGACCCACCGAACCCTTAAATGAAAAATTGATTATTATGCATATATTTTTCTTAATTTTTTATGATTTAAATTTAACATACAACTTGAGTTTTTTTCAATTCTTTTTTAATTTTTAATTGCTTTTATATTATATATTTGAGCTGATTTTTTACTTAAACTGGCTTTTGCCATTTTCTTTCTCTAATATATGTATTATTATTATTATTATATATATATTATGTATATATGTATGTCAATTATAATTATAATTTTAAGTAATTGCTTGACTTTTAGTATAAACAATAATAAGTTAAATATTATTTTGTTTTTATATTTAAGCAATATTGAAAGAACAAATTAGTTTTAAAATAATATTTTTTATTTTTTGTATTCTTTTTATTCGATTTTTGTTTTTTAAATGTTGAATTAATAATAGTTTGTAGTATAGTTTAAAAAATAATATCACAAAAAATAAGTTAATTTAATGTTAAACATTTCGTTTTATACGTAATATGCATATTTATAAGTATAATTTTTATATATAACTCTACTTGTCCTTTTTGGATTTTTATTATTTAGTTTACTATGTATAATATTTACTTACTATGCTTTAAATATTTAAAATAAATACTTAAATACTTTACTTTTTTGAATTTAAATTTAATTTTAAAATTAAGTAATTCAGTTTTTATGCTTATATATGTATAAACTTTATATTCATAAATTATTTATATATTTTTTTTTAGATTGCGTATACTTAGTTGCTTCATATTGTTGTTGTTATTTTAAAGTTATATGTATATGTATATATATAATATATTAATTAATTATAATATATATATACTTTTTTTTCAAATATTTAAATACTATTCATACAATTATTTGATATTAAAATTTATAATAAAAACATTTGTTTAATTTTTTTATTTTAAATAATATTTTTGTATATAGATAATATGTATAAATACATGTACATATACATATATATGTATATTTGTGTATATATGTATATATATATAAATATATATGTATAAGTACACATATGTATTTTGTAAGGTATTTAAGTTACTGTAGTATACATTTTTTCCGTAAAGCATATAGGTTTTCATTTGAATTATTTAAATATTTTTAATTTAATTTAATTTAATTTAATTTTATTTATTTTTTTTAAAAGTTCGCAAAAACATTTTTAAAACAACTTTTAGCGCTCACACAAAAATTTTTAATTAGTTTTAATTTATAAATATAATTATAAATATGTATATATATAGCTTTTATTTTTTTTTGTTTTTAATTTGCTTATATAATGAGGTTATAATTTAATTTACGTATACTTGTTGCTCACTTTGTTCTTTTTTTAAAAAGTTTGTTTTTATGCTTAATAATAATAGTTTAATAAGTTTTGTTTTTGTATGTTTTTTACTTATTTAAAAATTAAAAATAAATAATTTGGCACAATTCAGTTTATTAGAAAAATATTAATTAATAAATTATAGACTCAAACAATTTTAATGTCGCTTAAATAAATAACACAGTTTTGTTTTCTATTACTAATTATTTAATAAAGTTAGTGTGCGCTATATACAAAAAGCCAGTCAATTAAGTCTTGCGAAATGCATAACATAAACCCGTTGTTGTGATCAGTAAAGAAAATTTTTATTCTTACGATTTTTAAATTATTTAAATGGAGACAAACTCAAAATCTACAATTTATCTTTCAATCTACAAGCTAAGAAATAAAATAATCATTGCTATGCTCAGATTCAATATCAATAAAAGGATTAGGGAATAAAAAATAAGTTCAAAATTCAATGAAATAGAAATAAAATCGGGGTGAGTGAATAGTTGCGAGCCCCTGAGAACGAGTACAGAAGGCAACGCAAAGGCGTTGCATTAACCTGATAAATGCCAGCATCACCCTTAACGTCCCCCTGTACTTAAATAGTTTTTACATCGTATCTATCTGACATACACCCATGGATACTTTTCAAGCACCCTATAATTAATGAAACTAAATGAAGAAAAATTTTAAATAATATTAATTTATTGCAATTCGATCAGCTTTGAATAGAATTGGGATCTCTGTAATTTATTTAGAACTATTCTGACGTTTAACTCGCATTAGTCTATTCTCACTTCATTCGTCATATCTTAATTTTTTTAATTCACGCAGCCACCCATGGATATTACCAACGGGTGGGATATGATACTATGCGTTTAAAACCATTAAAATATGACGGCAGGAGTATATTGCAATCAAAAGATGTCCGACGGAACAGTGCGATCTCACTAAATGTGCTTTTAGCATTATGTCAAAATGAGCAGAGGTTCGACGGGAGAATAGGTTCCCGTTAAATGTGAAAGAATTCAACATTTCTATGTTGAGACAATTATGCAACAATAAATGAATTTTATAAAATTTATTGGTTGTTTTATATGTAAGCCTATAATAGATATTGAGGCTACCGCTTATTATGCAGCTCTCAATTTTGTATCAATTCCAAATAATTGGATTTAATCGATTGTTATAGTCGAAAATATTAAACACGATAAATCCAGTAAGATCGCGACGGAGCGTTCCACTGGAAATCCAACGACTTATTAATCTCCACCTATATGTTACATACACATGTTTTTAAATTTAATATAATTCTATATATATGTCCATTTAAAATTCTATATACAATTCTATATATAATCCTACACACCTACATAATTCTAAAAATAAGTTTTTGATGTTTTTTTGATTTATAGTCTATTCACATGACACAAGTTAATCTTTATTTACTGCTAATCCAGGTTGAGTCTTGAAAAGTCGATTTACGAAAGTCATTTTCAGAAGGCGACATTCGTTTCTCTTCTTTGTGATCGTTCGCGATTAGGTAACAGAAAGAAGAACGCCGTTTCTGATGCGTACTTTAATATCACTTTTTTTTACAAAGTTATATGTGTCCTTACTGGCATATATCTCTTAAACTGCTCGCTGATTGCCAATTAATGTATCCAGATACAGCTATCGGAACTGTATGATCACTGTGTGGTCATAATGAGTAACGGATGTGGAATGTATGTCAGTAATTTTACTAGAACTACGAATAGGAAGACTGCAAAACTCAAAAAGTAGTGGTTTTTGCTTTTTTAAATTAAAAGATGCATTCAACCACAAATTATAAAAATGTGACAAAAAAAAAGTGCAAAAAAAAATTTTTTTTTTTCTATCTCTTTCTAGTAATTTAATTAATTATTATATTTATAATACATCTATTTTTTTTTTTAATTTTGAATTTAAATGACTTAAGTCCTTACTTTACAAACCATATACAAAAATGTAATTCCCTGGCCGGTGTGTAGATAGCGCTTAATCATTACATATACATTATTTATGCATGTACTCTATATACTATATAGTCGATAAGACCGACTTCATAATTTTTCATTTATTAATATATTGAGTTTGAGTTAATTTATTAATTTCTAAATAGTCCTTTGCAATTTAAGTACGTTCTGGTACTGTACCGTGTATTACTAATATTTTTATGTGTGTACGTATACTTTGGAGATTCTAGTTAATCATAATTTTAGTTTATCATAATTTTAGTTAATATAGTGTATCATATACTAATTAAATACATTATGTTGTGTTCTGATAACAGTTAATTAAATATAATATTTTTTAAAAATTCACACTACTTTTCAGTTAAAAAATTTTACAGTTCAGTTTTTGCATATTAACTTCTTCCATGGTTTTTTAATTAAATCAACAATTATATAATTAACTCATTACTTTAATTTATTAATTTAATAATATTACGCTTTCAGCATTTTTCGTGATTTTTTATTTATCTTGTCGTGTTTCTTTTAATACTAATTAACGAATTAATTTTACAACAACAAAACAATTATCAAAAACATTAAATTTTTAATCAATTTTAGTTGAACATAAAATACTGAGAAATTAAAAAATTATTAGCACAACTGCAATTTACGGATGCCACTTAAGTCACTCATTAGATGCACTCAAAAGTAAAAGACACTCATTCAGTCGCCAGCCAACACTTAATGTTGGCATGCAATACAATTTTTGACACGCCGAACTCACATCCTCCACGACTTCGCTATACTTTATTTTCGTTTTGTTTATACTTTTGATTTGTTTTTATTTATTCTTTTCATGCTTCTTTATTTTCACCTATTTAATGACACCACCCCGAATGGCTTTGTTGTTGGACTTGTTTAATTGTGTTTGTTTGTGTTAAATGTTCGTTGGGATTGAGTTAAGTAGTGTGACTGTAATGGCATTCCATCAAATCTTGTTGACGTCTCTTTCACACACAACATGACAGCAGTTCATCAACTGACAACGGCGACAATGTCGGCATTCAGCAATACGGTACACTTCTCAGCAGAGGAGGAGGAAGAGACAATGTGGCAGAACAGAATTGTGTGCGCATTTTTAATTGAATTTTAATGCACTTTCGATATGCTGAGCGCAAGTACGACAGACATGCACTCACTACACACACATATATATATATATATATATATTACACTCAAGAAGCCGAACAGCTGAAGAAACTTTGATTTTGAAGTGCAACACAACGTGAAACGCAATGATGCTGTACAAATTGGCTGCTAGAATGAGATGCATTATGGCAATTTTGTTTTAATTTCTTATTAGTCTTTTATGTTTTTTTTTTGTTTTTGTTCTTGTTTTTTTTACACACAAAAATGAGTTCCTCACTCAGAGTGCATATTTAGCATGAAACGAAATGGAAACGCTCCAAAACTCTTGGCTTTTTCATAAAGAGCGATTGTAAGAGAATATTTACATGTGACTGACAGCAGAACAGGTGCTGGAGTACAGAGAGTTTTATAGATGGAGAGCAGCTGAACAGAAATGTTAAAAATTTAATGTTAACTTAAGGAAAAACAGAAAGCCCACAAACTTTTTTAACAGATGAACTTCTTCAGAAGAATGTAATGCTCCACTGCGCTGTTGTACAAAATTCTTGAAGAAATGAATGGTTGGTCGTCCTGTTAAAAAGGTTGGCAAATATTTAATGAACACGGATTGCTATTGCTAATAAGAGATCTATAACTTGGATTTTCAACCATTTGAAAAGACACATAGTTTTTTTCGCACTAAGATGTAGTGAGGGCAAGGTAAGGTATAATCACTAATACAATACAAAAAACAAATAAATATAGTATTATGGGAAGAAATTACATATAAATATATATATAATACATATATATAAACATAAAAATATATATATACAATACATAAATATATGTATATAATACATAAATATATATATTTAATATATAAATATATATATATATAACATACAAATATTTAGATAATTATATATATCATATATACATATATATAAAGTTATAGAAAAATATAAAATATATAAAAATAAATATATAAATGAAATATAGAAAATAAACTTAAAAAACACATACAATTTAAAAAAAAAAACAAATATAAGTAAAAAAAAACAAATACAATCAAAAAAAATAACAGATATAATTAAACAAAAACAAACACAATTTAAAAAAAGAACAAATATAACTAAAAAAAAAACAAATATAATTAAAAAGAAACCATATATAATATAAAAAAAACAAATAAAATAAAAAAAAACAAATATAATAAAAAAAAACAAATATAATAAAAAAAAAAAAAATATAATAAAAAAAAAAACAAATATAATAATAAAAAAAAACAAATATAATAAAAAAAAACAAATATAATAAAAAAAAACAAATATTATTAAAACAAAGACAAATATAATTTAAAAAAAAACAAATATATAATTAAAAAAAAAACAAATATATAATCAAACAAATATAAAAACAAATAAATTTGAATTAATCAATAAATGTATATTAAAATTAAAATGTAAAATAGGTAATATACAAAAATTAAAAAAAATGAATAAATAAATAAAATAAATAAAACAAATAAATAAATAAAACAGATAAATAAATAAAACAGATAAATAAATAAAACAATTAAATAAATTAAATGAGTAATTAAATAAATTAAATGAGTAATTAAATGAATTAAATGAGTAATTAAATAAATTAAATGAAGAAATATATAAAATATATCAATAAAAAATATTTACAATAAGACCCAGATTTGTGTTGTTGATTGGGACCGACAAAACCGACACAAATCGAAACAACGCAAATCGAAACACATTTCTCCACATATTTAATTTCCCAAAAATATAGTGTTTTTTGACCACTTGTTGATATAGAATTATCCTTTAATTAATTGAAAATCCACAGAGCCTTATTTTGAATTAACATTTGGCTCAAAGGCATTCTTCTTTGATTCTGATTTTTTATCCAAATGGATAGAATGGACTTCATTTTTACAATTAATGGACTTGTAGTTTTTGTAACTTGCTTGGCCTGCAAATGTATGATAGCTTTTTCACACTACTTTATCTTACCTCATCACGATAACAAATTGTTTCTAAAGTAGTAAAAGCTAAACACAGAATTCTCCCAATGTCAGGAGGTTTTCTCCAAGTTTAAAACATTTTAAAATGTTTTACTTTTGTTCTTAGAAAATTTGTCTTCGCTCTTGACTTATTTTTATATTTTATAAAGCAGAAATTCACATTTCCACTCCACCACACATACATAAACTGACACCTTTTAACTAAAAACTTAATAAATGCAAGTCCTCTTTTAAAAACTCTGACATGCAATAAATAAAATGGGAATCCCCACTCTACGCGTGTATTAAAATACGACGCTAATCGAATCAACGCAAATCAAGGTATTAGTGTATAAATAAAAAATAATTATAAGTTTAAAAATAATTATGAATAAAAAAGTAACTAAATATAAGCAATTAAATAAAAAATAAATGAATGAATATATAAATACATTTAAGAAAATAAATGAATTAATAAATAAATGAACAAAAATAAATAAATAAATAAATACATATATATATGTACAATTAAATTAAATTAAGTAATTAAATTAAAATGAAAAAATACAAAAAAAAAATAAGTAAAAATAAATAAATAAATAAAAATAAATAAATAAATAAAAATAAATAAATAAAAATAAATAAATAATAATAAATAAATAATAATAAATAAATAATAATAAATAAATAATAATAAATAAATAAATAAAAATGTATAAATAAATAAAAATGTATAAATAAATAAAAAAAGCATTTATAAATAAATTAAAATAAGCATAAATAAATACATCAAAATAAGCACAAATAAATAAATAAAAATAAATTAATAAATATAAATAAATAAATAAAATAAATAAAATAAATAAAATAAATAAAATAAATAAAATAAATAAATAAATAAAATATATAAATAAATAAAATAAATAAATAAATAAAATATATAAATAAATAAAATAAATAAATAAATAAAATAAGTAAATGAAATAAATAAATAAAATAAATAAATAAAATAAATAAATAAAATAAATAAATAAATAAAATAAATAAATAAAATAAATAAATAAAATAAATAAATAAAATAAATAAATAAAGTAAATAAATAAAATAAATAAATAAAATAAATAAATACCATAAAATAAACTTGTATATAAGAGTTAAATATATAGATAAGAATTGAAAATTAGAAATAAGACAATAAAAATAGATTAATTAAAAATATAAAATCAAATTAGATGAATATTCGTATGAAATAATTAAAAAAAAAATTAAGTGATAAAAAAATGTTTGCAAAAAACGAGCCATAAAAAAAATCGTAATCGTCTACATCGCCCACATCCCGTATATCTCCCACTCACCTTACACAAAATCACACCCAGCATTGGAAAAAGCCATGCTATTTCTACCACTGAAATCACCCATTCATGCAAAGCATACACCTCGCCCCACACATCCTCCGCCTAAGTAAACTAATTGGTAATTAATATGAAAAACGCATTTGTGCTAATAATTCGGCGCTGATTCCTTCGTCAGTAATTAATTTTGCGCTAGAGTTTCTGAGGAGACGACTATTCTTCCTGCAATTGTTGCAGCTGTTGTATTTGTCGATATATGGGGAGTGTGAGTTGGGAAACATTGGGAAATAAAGGTGCATATGAGGGTGGAGGATGCTGTAATGCTGTTGTAATAAATGTTGATTTAATTAATTTACCTTTGCCGGTTCAAGCCGGTCAGACGTTCTTCGATGACAACTGCTTGGCCAACTCAGTGTATTTGAGGAATTTCGACTGTGGACTCTCGTCGTAGGGATTTATGGTTGGTGTACTGGATATGTTGGACGGTGATAATGCCTGTGTGCGATGCGCTGCTGGACTCTTGGATGAGCTCTTCGGTGATGCTATAGATTTTGGAGATGTTGCTAACCCTGGTGATTTCATAGCATGCGATGATTGTGAATCACAATCGTCCTTTACGAAGTGTACTTTGGAAAGGTGATGTCGATATGCACCCTTCGAGCAAAATGGTGTGTCGCAAAATGAGCATTTTATTATGGAATCGGCTGTCATGACCGCGTCGTTACATGCCCAACTAAATGCAACCATGCTACCACCGGTAGTCGTACTTCCTCCATTTGTGGCTGACGGTGGTATGTTGTTTGGCATGGTAGTCACATTTGACATGGTGCCGGCACTACTGCGAGTGTTTGCCGCAGGTGGATCAGTTGTTTCGCATAATTTTTGCAATGCAGCCAAAGGATTTGCATTGGGCTTTTTACCCAAGCTGTTGTTGTTGTTGGTTTCTCCAGTTGTTGTGTTTGTGTTGCTGCTGTGGCACGCATTGGTGGCGGTCATATTACTCAAATTGTCAAACATGCTGGAGAGCGCATTGAGACTACTGCCTGCAACTGTTTGTAATAATTTTTTACCACTGCTACCACCACCAGTAGATACAGTGGATTTTGGGGTTAGTGATCTCTCGCTGATGCTGGGACTTATTGCGCGAGAACTCGGTGTATGTGGTTTGAATTTAATTTCGTGTTCGGTAGCTAGTTTTCGAGACATTTGAACCATTTCGTCGTCATCGGTCATGCTAAATTCTTTCTTTACGGATATTTTCTTTGGCATTTCATGCAATTGACTTATGTTTGTGTTGTGTTCTGCTGTCACTACTGCTGTGTCTGTTGGCAAATCTGTAATGTCACTTGGCTCGGATTTTACTTTAATATTTTCAATGTTTGAGTGCTGTTCTCTCGGTGGATATGCATGCAAGTTAGCCTCATTCGGTGTTGCCATTTTATCTGGCGTTAAACGTGGTGTAGTTTGTCTGGATATCTCAGAGTTACGTTCTGGTGTAACAGACTCTAAACGGCTGCTACCGCGTTCAGAAACAGAGCTAGATTCACTTGCACTGCGATCTCGACCACCAGAGTAACTGCTGTAGGAGCGTAAAAAGTGCATAGTTTGTGCATCCATTAAAGGTTTTGTATAATCTACAGTGTCGTCAATGCCCAATCGTTTTAGGATGCTAGCACCCAGTGGGGTGTTGGCATGACCAGCGGCGCTCATAGTACCACCATGTCTGGAACGCGTATCAAAGCTTTTCTCAATCAACTGCTCTATGGCATTGAGTACCGATGGGGTTGAGCTCGCTTTTTCGCCATCTTTTGGCAAAGGACATAGTATGTCTGGCCGTGCCGCCAAGGGAGAAATGTTTTCCTCAGCAGTTTTACGACTATCACTGCGGCTGTGCGGAGTCTGTGGGCTAGCCAATGGTGTTACATAAGATAATTTCACGCTGTTGTTGTTGTTATTGTGGCGAGGTGACATTGGTATATTTCCGCCTAAACACTGGCGTATATGATCAACGAATAGAGCTGTTTCTATCTTATCGCCACATTTTTCGCAAGTGATTTTAGTAGACGCAGCAAAATCGCGCAGTGGCTTCAATGCCGGATCCAAGCAGTTACTGTTCTTGAAGTCCTGCTGAGCGCGCTCCAATTCAAGTAACTTTCGCACCGGTAATGACTTTTTGCGTTTTTCGCGCGTCTGTCGGCCACGCCGTTGTATGTTTGTGTTGTTATCGCTTGCCGTACGTATCATGTGTTCCTTATAGTGCGCATTCTTCACCATGTGATTGCTTAGCTCCTTCAGTGAGGAAAAGGCCTGATCGCACACTTTGCATGTAAGCACAGCACTTACAGTAGCGTTTGAAGTGGCTGTGTTCACTGCGGTTGACATGTTGGCCACTGTAGATGCATTCACTGCTGCTGCACCAAATGTATTAGTTGTGCTGTTTGAGGAGCTGTTGCCAGCGCTCTTATCATCGGAAGATTTCCATGAAATTATTTGCTCTTGCGATATGATATTTGTGTAGTGTTGAGTCTCTTGCATGTGACTTGTCATTTCAGCAAGTGAACGAAAACTTTGACCGCACCACATGCACTTCAGTATTTGTCTGGTTTGTTCAGCTCCTTTGCCCAGCCAAACATCTTGGCCACGCACAAGTTTGCGTGGTAATGGCATCGTTTCTTTGATTAACAAATTAAGATCAGATTTGCTGGACGTTGAGTTTGTTACATTATTGGCAGTAGAAGACACCGCGGACGATGAATTGCTGCCCGCACTTTGCGTGGCACTGTGACGCGCATGTAGTGTAGATTGAGCTGTTTGATTTCCGGAACTATTGCTAGTTGTCATGGGTGCTGTGCCACTAGAAACTGAAGGTGAAACGTTAACACCGCAATGTTGTGTTTCTTTCATGTGTGTTGTCAGCGAAGCTAATGTGGGAAAACTCTGTTTGCACCAAACACATTTAAATACATCTTTGACAGCATCTGCACCTTTGTTGAGCCAGTGTGATTGCCAGGCACTATGCCGGCCATTGGTAGTGCCGCTTAAATTACTGTTGTTAGCTGCCGTGTTAGTCTGTCTAATCGCTTGTACTTCTGTTTCTGTAGCCGTTCCAAGTCTTGTCATTTCAGTCATTTTCTCCAGTGCTTTTGTAGCTTCATTTGGTAGGAGTTTCTGCTTACCATTCCAGTCCAATGATACTGACGTTTTTGGCGATAAGCTAGCAGCTGCTACAGCTGCTAAATATGGATTAATTGGTGGTACCCAAGTACCAGCTGGCACAGATTTATACTCACTGGAACGTGATATTTTATGCGAAGGTGGTATTGCTTCACTATCATCGGTATTCTCTCTTTTGCGACCCGTGCCGACAGATAAGTCCAAGGGACTGTTAGCATCATCAGCATTACCGTCAGCAAGAACACCTTCAGTGTCAATTGCATTATTAGATTCGTCAATGTCTTCTTCATCGCTGGCATTTTCTGACTCACGCCGGCCACGTTTTGTGCTAAAATCTAAGATCCCAGCGTCTGCATCGGCTATGGGTGAGGTCGAAAGATCGGATGTGTGCCTTGTGTTATGCGAGGGGGAATGAGACTGCGTAGCTGCCTGTTGTACCAATGAAGCAGCCGCAGCTAAAGGATTTGTTAAGAGCAAATGGTTTTGCTGTGCAGCTGCCGCCGCTGCTGCCGCATTCAAGTAAGCAGCCATAGCTGCCGACTGCGGCGGTAGAAGTGCAGCGGCCGCAGCAGGTGCTAATGTCGCTGGAAGTGGTAAACCAACAGGAGACACTGTAGGTGTAAGTGCAGAATCATGTGTAAAGCTCTCATTTTGCGAGCAATGGGATTCAGTTGAAGGACAACGAGCATCTACGGCAGCTCCTGACTGATTTGAGTCCCGTGATTGACAGCGTGGACTGGCCAATTCACTGAAAATAAATAAAATAAAAATTATTTATAAAAAATAAATGCTAATAAAATAAAATGGATATTTCTTTTTTATAGTATATCCATGCTACTAGTATTAGCAAATGGAGATTCATTGAAATATACAAACTAATGAATTATATGGAAATTGAATAAAGGAATTTTTATACTCTCTTCTATTTATCTTATTTATTCTTATTTAATATATACTTACTTTATAGTTCAAATCGCTTATTATCTTCGCGATGAATCTTTGATACTTAATTTTGATAAGACTCTGAACCATTAAAAGAATTGCAAGCCATATCATATTCTTTCATTAATTAATATCTTATTTATTTACTTTATTTAATATATAAAATTTGATCGATGATGTTCACGTTAATAATCATGTAACAGTTTAGTTTTACTACAAGATTTCATATATGGGTCTCTAAAGCTCTTGCAGAAAGAAGGTGCTACGTCACGTGGCCGCCTGTAATTTGTGTCACAAATGTCAAGAAAATCCTGCATATTTAATGCGAATAATCACTGATAACGGAAATGAGTTATTATATTATTATCATATAACATATAGCAAAAACATATGAACCGGTCCAAATGCCTTCGAAAGCTAATATTTATTAAAAAAACAGTAAGAAATCTGTTGAAATTTAAGGTGCTTAATTTGTTTCTTAAATTTCTACCAAAAAGTACCAAAACTAAGCACTTAAAGAGAAATAGATATGTCTCAAAGTTTTCCTTTAAATTATTACATATAGGAAAAGCTGCAACAACTGTTCAAATCGAAATTATGCCCTAGTAGATAAAAATGGACAAATGTGAATGTGAAAACCTTACAAGTAGTCTTCTACTGTTAGGTACATTGTAATAAATTACTTGAATATAAGCAAATACTTAAGTTAACAGGGCCTAACGCTTAATCTATCCACGTGTTCATAATAAAGTAGTAAGTCAGTTGGCTGAAGCAGAGGCAAAAGTCCAACTTCAGGAGGCTTCATGGGCACACAAACGAAAGAAAGAAAAATCTTTTAAACGAACTCACCTCACCAATTGTTTAAAGGCTTTTTGAAGTGCTGCCAAATACTGTAAATTCATTTTTCAAAATTTTTTTTTATGTTTAAGTTACAGATTTATTTTAAGGATATAAAAGCTTTGTTGTATCTAATAAGCACTTTAAATAGGCATGCACAAAAAAACTGCATTGGAATAACTTCTGGAACAATCTACAATCTGAAAAATAATCTACATCTGATCTACGGTATTGTTCTAGCTGTACCTTGCATAAATAAACAAAACATGATCACATGTCCACGTATATCGTTTCGTAACATAATGACATTATCAAAAGAGTTTGACAAAAATATATAAATAAATAAATAAATAAAATTCAATGTTCAACTTTGAGAAAATTTATTTCAAATTTTTGGTTCAACTTATTATCTATCCACACTCCATCATTTTGGATTTAGCACTTAACTTGGTGATTATGGTAAACATAATGATGTCACAACCTGATACAGGTACTTTTAAATCACTTATGCTGATGTGCATCGAACCAAAACAAACTTTGCCAAGTTTCCTAAAAAAAATTCTCAGGCGATATATCTATGTAGAACCTTCCAAAATCAATTCTTGAAAGTTAAGTACAAGTTTCTTCAAAATATACATCAACAGATATAAGCTCTTCATTTGATTTCAGTTTAAGATCTTGCTCTCCAATTCAAATTTTTAAGTTTGGAAACAATTAATTGTCATTGTAGAATAGATCTGATACTACAACGGAAGGTCTATCTGTGTTTTGCTAAAATCATTCTACTAACCAGAGCATTAAGAATAGTGATCCAGTAGTGATCAGGTTTTTGAGCACTCAACATCTGAACAGCCATTTGGCTATAGTGACAGTTTCAACCAGTCCAGAACGGTCTGTATCAACCACCAGGTTTAAAGCTGACTTTTTAGTACTAAACCTGATGCAACGAAATATTATGTTGTGAATATAAGCGTTTATACGAAGCGTAATACTTGTTTCTCTTCAGTTTTAGAAATACGTGACTCCACGTTGGAGTATGGAAAAGTTTATTAAATATTATAATCAATAAACGAATATTGGTAATACAATGACGTATTGCCAATACCACTTAATTGATAATCGTTGTTTTAATTAAATACATTCCAATCAAATGTGTGGATGGCATGACTTTAGTGTGGCGGAAAATTCAAACGCTACAGTAAAGCATACCAGTGAAAGTGTCTGTATGTCAGCCGCCTGCTTTGGGAATCTGGAATTCATTGACAAAAGAATGTACTTAAACGTTTTGAAAAAAATTTACTCTAGACTGCCGTGAAACTTAGAATTATTAATACATTTCGCTTCTACCAAGACAACGACCCAAAACATAAGGTCGGCATCGTACAGTCTTGGTTGTACGATGCCGGCGCAGAGCCCAGACATGAATGTCATTGAAAATTTATGGGCAATATTGGAACAAAACATTCAGCAATACACTATTTCCAACAAAGAAGACCTAAAAAAGGCTATTTTACAAGAGTGGCTGAAAATTGATCCAGAAACAACCCAAAAACTTGTAGGTTCAATGCCGAAGAGACTTGACAAAGTGATAAAACCGAAGGGGTATCATACCAAGTATGGGTTGAAATAAGCTGGGAGCTACTGTATATACGAAAATGGTCTCTGTGTTGCAAGCATTTTGACAAACTCAACATACATTTTCTATATCTGTCTCTATTCTAAATCGATTTTTTTATATTTGCGAAATTTTCAAATTAACAAATAATATTTATTATTCATTGATATATTTATTATTTAAACATTTATTAGCTTTTTATTAAAGATTATATTAATTATGCAATAAATTCTTTACTTTCAACAATATTATATATAATTATAAATAAATATTTATACGGATTTTTCATTTTTTGTAACAGAAATGATAATTATTTTTATTATTTAAATTTTTGAAATAATTGTTGTCTTTTTTATATCAAAGATTATTTTTATTAAGTATTCTTATTTATATATCCAGGTGCAGTCGGGGTCTATGTTCTAGAGTCACTCATCAACTACGAGTATAAAATGACGCAAAAATTTTATTATAATTATTTTACTTTATTCAATTATAATTTTACTTTATTATTTACTTTATATATATAATTTTATTATTATATTTTTATTATTTTATCATCACTTTATTTTATTATTTTTTATCGTTGGTTTATTTTTTTTTTCTTTTTTGTTTCATTATTTTATTTTATTAATATTTTATTTTGTTACTATTGCATTTTATTATTTAACTATTATTTTATTTTACTCTCAATTTACTATTATTTTCTTTCATTATTATTTTATTTAATTATTTTATTTGGTTATTATTTTGTTTTTTTCATTAATATGTGTATTGTTTTATTATTTATTTAGTGTCATTTCATTTTATTATTTTATTCCATTATTTTATTTTATTTAATTTGTATTTTATTATTATTTCGATTTTATTTTCTTTTTATTATCATTTTACTATTATTTTATTTTGTTATTACATAAATAATATATTATTGTGTTGCAATTTTACTTTATTATTTACTTTATTTAAATATGAATGATGAACAGTATTAATAAATTTTTATTTTTTATTAGATATTTTTATTACTTAATAGCTTTTTTTGTTATTGAATTATTTTTATAAAAAAAATAATTATGAACAATTTTATTAATAATAATAATTTCTATAACAAATATTATAATTTTTATAATTTATTATTAAATTTAGTTAATTAAATATTTATTCAACTTAGTGATTATTTTAAATACTATTTTTATTATTAATATATAGTAGTTATTAATAATGTATTATTATTCCCACAAACACATGAATTTATTAGATTTTTTATATTTCGATTTATTTAAATTTTGTTTTTTATTTATTTGAATTGAAAATTAATTTCTATTAATATTGTTTCACATATTAATAACTGAGAATTCTTTAATGTATTATTGATTTTTTATTTTTGCCTTATTTTATTTTAATAATTTCGAATTAAACTCTTCAAACTTTACTGTAACTTTAATTTAATTCTATTGCAATTAAAAAAAATTACATTTCTAATTAATTAAAATCACTTTAAGTAAATTGTTTTCAATAATTATTAAAGTTATTTTAAATAAACTATTTTTAAAACAGTGATAATTAAATTTATTTAAAAAATCTTTTAATTTTTAATTTGTTTAAAATGAAATTGTTCTTCTCACCTCGCATTCAACGCCTGCCTGTAAATCTCCAGCATCACAGCCTCGTGCAGCATCATAATTTCAGTGTTGTTTATGTGGAATTCTTACACGGCAAAGGACAGAACGACAAACGCGTATTAAAATTTAACACTAAATTGAAGTTAAAAAGCAAAAGCAAACGCCAAAGCAAATATTAAAGTTTCTTAAGTTGTCTTTTCGTTTATTTTTGTTTTTGTCTTTTTGTGCGTCTAAGGAAATTCGCAACACAAACGCATACATTAAACTGCATTCATGTGGCACGCACAAACACCACAAATCAACAAGCGATTTAGTAACCAAAAGCAAAACGTACGACGTACGCCTTACGCCGTGTACGCAGGCAGCGCTGCTTGCAGTAGTGAGGCACACACTTAATTCAAATTCAATTTTATTGTTTTTTTCTTCTCCTTCTTCTTTTGTTATTTTTTTGTTGTGGCCTTTGTCGTATTAAACTTAATGTGCTTTTCTTGAGTTTAATTAACGCCACTCAAAACCATACATTTTGGGCATATGAATCTAAAAACAAAAAAAAACTAACATTCAACACTATTGTTGTTGGTTTGATTTCGTTACTCGTTACTCGTTAGTCGCTACTCCTTACTATAACTTATTTATATTATTTATGTTTATTTCATTGTTTTTAATTAGTTGTAAGGTTAATTGTTGGAAATATTTTGTTTAGTTTTGTTTAGTCTGCATTTGTTCTAAGAGCCTTTCTGCTTTGCCTGCAATATCAATGCTGCCATGGAAATTGCATTTGCTTAATTGCCGTCAAACTGCTGCTATGTTATTGCATTTTTGCATTTTTATGTGGATGTGTCAATTTATTTGTGCTTGCCGTGCCGGTTTGCTTCGTTCTCCATATGCATGTTTGTGTTATGCCTTCACTGCTAAACTGCTGCACTACAATTGCTGGTTGTATTCTATAAACTCTCTAGGAGGACCAACACACATGACATGTATGTGGAAAATTATAGACACAAAAACACACACACACACACAAATATTTATGTCAAATAAATCAAATGTCAAAATGCTTACGACGTAGACGTCAATTGCGGCGTAGGGATAACAACAAAAGTAATACAATAATAATTCACTATTTGTAAAAGGTTGTGTGCAGCTTATTTGTATGCTTATTTTTACGTTTGTGTGTGCGTGTATGTACTGGATTATGAAAGGCAGCCAAAGAAGATGGGGCAATTATTTTGCTTGATTTGCCGTTTGCGGCTGTTGTTATTGTTGTTGTAGTTGTTATAGTTGTTGTTGTGTTCATACGGTTCAAAAACACAAAGCACAGTTGTTGCAATTTGATCAAAATGTCGTCACAAAAATTCTTATTAGCAAAACGTATTGTCTACTGCTGGGTGGGTGATTGCTGGCTGCTTCTGTTGTCGTCGATTTATTCTATGTGGCAGCAGCATTGTCACTACTTCTGGCTAGATTATTAATAATGTTCTGCTGCTGATGCGGCTGCTGATGTCGTTATTTTTGTACTGGCCGCATACAGTTAATTAAATGATTTGACGTAGTCATACAAATTTGTTTGGCCTGCCGCTGCTGCCTCTGCCACTGCCGTTTCCAAACGTTTTTAGTTCAAAAATACTTTGTTGCCTTGATATGTTAGATTTCCAAGATTTATAATTTTTAATTTATTTAAAATATTTGTTTTTCTATGTCAAACATTCTCAAAACTCAAACCCAAGCAAATAAATCACAAGTTATGGCAAAAACGCGCACTTTTCGGCTTATCAGCAGAAGAAAAAAAATTCTTATAGGAATTTATTTAAATGTTTTCACTTCCTTTTAATGATTTGTTTTTTGTTTATTTCTATTGTTTTTTTTTAAACTATTTCTATTTTATTTGTGACTAGAATTGGCATTAAATTTTTCGTCATTCAATTTAAATTTAAGTAGTAAGTTTTTTTTTAAGTTCAATTTTTCGTAATGCAATTTTGCGTATTTTCATTAGTAAAATTACACAAAAATATTTTCTTAGCACAACACAAGAGTGCAACTCACTTACGTTGCATTGAGTCGCTCATTTGCAACTGAACTGAAAATAACTTTCGTCCTATTCAAGTGGTGGTGTGTGCGGATAATCCGAGCAGCGAAACTCAAATAAAACCAAAAACAACATCAGTCAACACCAACGCCAGTGACAATAGCCTGATTGACAGAATCACGTACTGCCGCTGCTACTGCTACTACTGCTACTACTGTTGCTGTTGATTCTTGCCACACATAAGTTTTTTGTTCCTGTTCCGGCAACACTAAAAGCACTACGAACACTATTAATGCCACTACGGCAACTGCTGCTAAGCTCTGCTGTTTGTAGTTTAAACATGGATGACGACTACGGCAGAACAAAACAAAAATTCATTTAAAAAAGCAGTAAAATACAAAAACAATTGTAACGAGACGATATCGTAAAAGACGGCGACGTCAACGACGACGATGACGATGACGACGTAGTAGTACTGCTTTGGTTTAGCTTCTGCTTCTGCTCCTGTTTGCGCTGCTATCGTTGTGTTATGATTTTAGCAAGTCCTTTTATATAACGGAATCTTACGGAAACAACAACTACATACTTTTAACACCGCTGTTATTACGTGCATTTCTATAAATGTCACTGTTAATATTTTGTATGCCCTGTTGTCTAATAAACTTGATATATTCTAGATTATTTTTTGCGAGAAATTCAACGTCCAAAACTTTCGACATGATTTCATTAAAACGTTCTGTTGTCGACTAAAACATCTTTTTGACACTGACAATGTTGAGAGCGACAGCCAGCAGGCTAAAAACTAACGTAACAGCAGAACCACCACCAACAACAACAGCAACACACAAACAGCAGCAGCGACAGCAGAGCTACCACGAAGTTTCCCAACAAACCAATTCAAAGCTTCATACAAGTTAAATAAAAACAACAATAACAACAAGTAAAATAACATATAATAACGAGTAAAGTGTACGAATATACGTGCAATGACGACGATTCAACTACGATGACAACGACGGCGACGACGACTACTACTACGTCGTAAACGACAATCAAAATGAAATGTTGAGCAAAATCCAACAACACAATACATGTTTTGCCCTCATAATATTGATATATTTTTATGCATTGCACTCATGCATAATAAAAACAAGAGCCGAACTGAAGAACATTGCTCTAAATGAAATTGTTATGCGCGTTAAAGCAATTCTCTTTGCACAGTATTTTATACACAACAATAACAACTACTGTTGCTGTTGCTGTTGCTACTCTGTTTCTACTCTGTTAATGGTATGTGCGCGCTCATTGTTATGCTTTTGTTATGTTATCTAATATCAAGAAATTTAACAGTAAAATTTATTTCAAAATTTTAACAGCGCCAAAATAACAGTTAGAAAGGAGCAGAGACTGAATTAATTCTTTAATATTGAAGATTGTATGAAAATATAAAAATTTATTAAAATACATATACATATATATATATATATATACATATATATATATATAATTATAAATATGTTTGTATGTATATGAAACCCCAATTTATTAGATTACGTATTATTAGTCAGAAACACAGAAAAAAATTGCCTGCAAAAACGTAGGTAATTGCCAGAGCTTCTAGCCTGAAAGTGTCTACAATATGTATCTAGATGTGCATATCTCTTTACATAATTATCTGAGTTTACTTGAAGACAACTTGTTCCAGTAAAGCACCCTCCATTGTCACTTCCCAACCGGTTTACACAGGTTTGCTTACCGTGGGTTCTATTAATCATTTATAAATTTATTGGGTCATTCAAGTGATTGATCCCTTAAATTGCCGCTTTCCAGATTTAAACTTGATTTTATTTACTTATTATAAATTTATAATTAAAAAAACTGCACTTAGTTGTTGTCATTGTAATCCAATTGTATATGGATGGGTGTCTCCGGGAAATGGACCTGACAGCCACTAAAACCATGGACCATTGCGTAAGCTATAAACATTCTGTCCTCGAATGTGATATAATCATTTCGAAACTCTTATTTTGAAAATTCTTGATTAAAACATTTCGAACCTTGATGAGGTAGAGACTTGATGAACTTTTCAGTATGTGATTGCCGAGACTACAACCAACAAATAACACCTGTCAAAATTGCAAGTCATGCCGACCATTTGTGATTGAGTTCCAGGTGTTTTAGAGACGCTACTTTCGAGAATTATAAAGCAACGAAAAAAAGAAGATTTTGTTTGAAACCTCAAAAAGAGGTTTCTATGTTGGAAAAGAATACCATGAAAACGAGATTCAATTAAAATCAAAGAAGAAACAGTTTGTAATGGCAACAACCAGAAACTTTTTTTCAATAGAGGACTTAACCCATAATTCCAACGTTGTACGTTATCACAATCTTCTTCCTCAAAGCTGGAGATGAACACGAAATTTCTTGAAAGCTTAGCTGCAGTACCTCAGTCAAATAATTAGATCTTGGCCATTTTGTACTTTGACGAGAAGGCAAATAATGGATAAACCAGCAAGACAATTCAAATCACTGTACAAACAGTATATGCCAAAGGCGGGCATAGTTTTTTTAATGCATTTAGGGCAATCTAATAGACTCCTAAACTGAGACTCAATTAAAATTCTCACTGGGATTCCAAAAATGTTTTGTAGTGTGAGGCACCATTTTAATAAAATGGACCACTCAGAGACCAGTATCTGCCGCTTTCTTTGAAATGGATGTAGATGTTTCGATGGATGATTCAGACGTTTGTCTGAGCACATTTTCTGCGAATAAACGGAGCTAAGCAGTAGCAGACTTATTCATCATTAGTCATAACATAACATATGAAATATATGAAATCATCAATGGTGTATGGTGTAAGTATTTTACACTTAATTTATAATAAAAATTAATTTGAAGGATCTATATCTTATATATATTTTTAAGATACTTCATCTTTCATATCCTTGTATATAACCGAACCTATAACGTACTATGAGGTCCTTTATTGGAACTATATTTTGGTACTATAATTTTCGTTTGGTTATTCGGATTTTGTTGTTCATTGTAAATTGATTGTAAATTGCTAGACATCCCCTACTCTCTAATATGTTCATTCTATAAACTTTTTTGTCGAAAATTA